ACTCTGTGTGTGGGGGTGGGGGTGGGAATGTTTTTTGCTGTAAGGATTTGTTGCCTCTTTTGAGTCACTGCATTCATAGGTATAGGTCAAGTTCATCAGATTGTATCAGCTCAATCTCCCCCCCCCACCCTTCTTTCTTCTCCTGGTTGAGCTCTGATCATCCAGTCATCCGGTCCAGGTCACGTGGGTACCATCTGTCCGTGTGGGTGTTCTTGTGCACATGCCCTCTCTTCCCATCAGCGGGCAGCTCCAGTCTCCATTTGAGTCATCTGTGGCCACGCCACTGACTCTGGGCCCAGGAGTCCCCAGGTCTCCTCACACTGCTTGCCAACCAGGTCCCCAACCGGGTCCACAGAAGCCCACTGAATATTGTAAGACTTAGTTCACCGCATCATTGCTGCCTTTACCCTACTTCTCCCCATCGGTGATGTGTGTGGTCACCAATCAGAGAGTGCATTTCCACTGAGTCTCAGTCTTGGAAGGGGGCCTGCGTTGAGAGGACCCGACCACCTGCCCCGATGTCTCCTAGGGAAGCGACCCGTTTATTCCTGTAGTAACTGTCCAACTGCTTCCATTGTTTCGTATTTTTCCTGTAGGTCTTTCATTCGAGAAGTATCTTTTGTTCTTCTCGCTGCTCCAGGCTGGTCAGCTCGTCCTTTCAAGTGGAGATTTTTCATCTGTGGTTATCTGGATGTTGTTCTGGTTTCTACCTATAGTTTTGTGTATTGCAAAAGCTCCACAGGAAGCCTCGTTCACTGGGTACGATGTAGCCCCATTTTAGGTATTCCAATAGTAACGATTTTTTAAAAAGAAACTTTTACCTTCCTTCAGGTATCAGTATGAATTTTGTTACAGATGTACAATCACTTTTGTTTATCTTCTTCTGTGAGTTATCTCGGTACCCAGGCAAGAGTCTTGGCTGATATATGCCACATAATCCATTGTCACTCATGTATCCAACAGAATCATTTCATGTGCACACTCAGTGTTGTCTTCAGACATGGATGTGGGTGTTTTAATATAACCAGAGTGTGGATATATTTTGACTACATAAGCGTATTTTCACATTATGGAAAAAAAAGATCAGTAGTTGCTACTGATTCACAGCTTGGGCATTAGGGATGAATATTTGGAGTATAAGCATTTTTAGGACAGTAAACATTTTTTATTTATTTATTTTTTTTCAGTAAACATGTTTTGCATGACACAGTAATAGGAGCACATAGCATGCATTTGTCAGAAATCCATGGAGCCATGCAACACAGAGGAGTCCTGTTGTGGTGCTGTGGGTTAATACACTGGACTGCAATGCTCTCGCCAGCCGCTCCTAGGAAACCCTATACCAGGGGCGCTATGGGCCAGAACCAACTCAATGGCACTTAACAGCAACAATGTCCAACACTGAGTGAGCCCTAAGTAAACCCTGGGTTTTAGTGATACTGCACCAGTTCTTACTCAGTTTTTGTTGAATTGTTATCAGTTGCAACAAATGTATCACTTAGATTGTTTTTTAGGCTTGCCGTAACAAAAAATAATACAGGTACGTAGCTTTAAAGAATAGAAATTTATTTTCTTATGTTTCAGGAAATAGAAGTCCAAATCCAAGGTGTGACTGTAGGGGAGGCTTCTAGAACTCCTGTTTGTAGCCGTTCCTGTGTGTGCCTGTCTTCACTCTTCTCCCACTCGGTGCGCTGTGTCTGTGCTGCTCTTTTCATAACTCAAAAGTGATTACCCTTAGGTCCACCCCACTCATCTATGGGCTGTGGCACTGTAGGATAAGCACTGGGCTGCTTACCGCAAGATCAGTGGTTCAAACCCACCAGCAGCTCCATGGAAACTCTATACAGAGTTTCTGTGAATTGGACCAGACTCTATAGCACTTAACAGCAGCAGCCCTGCAGGTATGACCTCATTAACATAACAAAAGGAAAAGCTTATACCCACAGGTGCCAGGACAATAATACAGATTCAACACATAACCCAATCCAGAGTTTACAGTAAAGCAAGATGTTAACAATAGGGGACACTGTGCTGGGGAGAACAGAGGCTTATGTTTCTATAAACTTCAAACTGCTCTAAATGAGTCTTATTTAAATTTGTGTGTGTGTGTGTCATTAAAAGCATATTTTTGTAATTGGATTTTTTATTATGGAACAACGGTACCTGCCACACCTGTTTTTCTCCTTGTGGAGCATGGAAAATGCACTGTAGTGCAGAGCCTTACTTTCCTTACCGTGCATCTCCTTTGTTTGGGTTTCCAATGTGCAGCAGGCATTTTATTTGACCTTTGAAACATCCACTTCCCCAATCCTTTGTAAAATTCAAATTTTTTTTTTTTTTTGGTAGCAAATTTTATTTCTGGTTTCATTTCTGCGTTTCTTTTCCCAGTATCTTGATGCTTCCTTTTCCTGTTATTTTTTTTTAAGGTTTTTATTGTGGATTGAGTAAAAGTTTACAGGGCAGATCATCAGTTTTACTTAACAAATCATACACTTGTTTCATTACAGTGATTATAATCCCCTCCATGTACCATCAGTTAACAGCTTTTCTTGTTATTTTTCAACAATCAGAAATATATACCTTTAAAAAACAAATGTCTTTTTGTAGCAAAAGGAGAGGAGAAGAGTGGTTGACTTTGCAGCCTAGGAGCAGAGGTCCCTGGGACCATCAAGGGAGAAGAGCAGAGTTGGGACCCTACCCAGAGAAACAGTGATGCCAGAGATGGAGGCAGAGACTATGACGTGGAGAGATGGAACAGCTGGGCACTCTAAACCCAGAGAGGAAGAGGGGCTGTGTGCTTACGGCCGAGGCTTGTGGGGTGTACCCTTTGGTTGGTTGATGATGAATGGAGGGGATTGTAATCATGGCAATGAAACTATATGATAGGATGAATGTAAAGCTAATGTTCTACTATGTAATTATGTATGTAAACTACTACATAATTCACAATAAAAACTTAAAAAAAAAAGTCTGATTCCATGTTTAACTCTTAATACTTGTAGTCATACTGTTTGTCTCCGTGTCTCCCATCGTTTTACTTATTTTAGATGTCACATTTTAAAATCTAAACAGAACTATATGGAAATTGCTTTATTGCCGCCCTTTCTCTCATTATCTTTTTATAATAATACATTTAATATTTTAGAATTTCTGTCTTTTTCTTATTTAATTACATGTATAATTTATTATTTCAGCCATACAGATTCCCTGGCACGTCCTCTGTAATTATACTAATCTGAATAAGGAGCTATTTTACTCTCTCCCTCCACTGCACAAGAAATGGTGTGTTCTCTGCAGCAGACAAAACTCTTCACCGCTTACAACAATCACAAAATGCTGTGTGCCTGAGACACACCTACTAGTCATTCTTGTTTCCTTGCTGCTTGCTTTCCCATATTTGTTAAAGCTTCTTAGAGTTCTGGATTCAGATTCAGACAAAACTGTAGTGACTCCTGGCTTAACCAGGAAGTCTGTTTGCCCATTTGCTGAACAGCTTGATACAGAACAGTTCTCAGAGCTTTAAGCCCCATGAAGTTTCAAAACATTTGAAGAGTTGCCAATTCTTCATTTTAACGCATTGAAGACATTAGGGGAAAACATCCGCTATCTGTTACTATCATGACTTCATAGAAAGGTCTGGTCTTAGAATACAGACTTTCCTTAGCCAAGGAGTTAAGGACCTACCTACAAACTCATTGTATCCTATCCTGTTGCTTCTCATTTTGCTGAGGACCATGAAGCCTACTGCTTCCCAGTGTGCCCTAACAAAGTCTAGAGCTATCAGGACACTTAGGACTTGTCCTGGGTACCATGGTCCCTCGAGGCTGGCATTTCCCACCAAAGGCCCTGTTTTGTCTCTTCAGCTCATCGGTTAGTGCATGTGCTCGTACCAGTACTAGTCCAGGTAACACACAATTTGGAAAAGTCAGATTCTTGGTGAACTAGTACAGTAATGTGTTCTAAATGAGCATAAATAACGTAAGGAATCCTACTACTTCTCCCTTTTATTGGAATTGGTCGTTTGTTTTTTTTTTAATTGGCCATTATTTGGCTGTGTATAATCTTGTACAATCTTAATTCCACCTTGATCTTTCAGCGGTCCTGCGAGTGGCTGGCTCCCTGCAGAAGAGCACAGAAGTGATGAAAGCCATGCAGAGTCTCGTGAAGATCCCAGAAATCCAGGCCACCATGCGGGAGCTGTCCAAAGAGATGATGAAGGTGACCTGCTTCCCTTTCCAGACTACAGAGAGTGGCTCTCAGCACATGTTTGGGGGTTCAGGAGTGAGTGGATAAACCACTGGTGCTAGAAATTAATTTGAGGACCAAGGAACCACTGTGAACACGGATTGAAACCATTTGAGCCCAGCATATTAAAAGCCAAGTCCAGTTGGCAGAGTGATCAGTAGAAGAAGCAAGGAAAGAACACTGAGAGCTTGAAGGGAGGTAGAGATCCAGGCACTAATGTTCTGGGGTTTAGGGAAGTAGAATTTGCAGTAGTTTATAGTGGGAGAAGGGCCGGAGAAGAAGTTGATGAAAAATATCATAAGTCCAGGGGCCCAGGTCTTTGGGATGAGAAATCCTCGGGTGGTAGCAGAGAGGAGGGAACCAGGTCCCTTAAAGCAGTGTCTTGGTTTCTCGTTCCTCAAGTTGGTGACAGACTGTTCTCCAGAGCTGGGAGTAAAGAGCGACTGTAGGCTGCTAACCCTAATTCAGGGAATCATAAGTAACTGAGGAAGCCTTTCATAGAGTCAGGGGGTGGGGCTTCATAAGGTTTTTGTTGTTTTCACAGAATACTGAAACTAATACAGATTAATCTATATTGGAGGGGATGGGGTTGTGTGGCCCTGAGTCAATGCCTACTCATAGTGACCCTGTTTATAGAGTTTCTGAGACTAAATTTGCATGGGAGCAGAAAACCTATTCTTTCTCCTGGAGCGTAACTGACAGATACAAACCGCTGACCTAGGGGTTAGCAGCCCAGCTTGTAATCCACTACACTATCAGGGTTCCTTTATCTATTTTACTGGTAGATAAAAAAAATCGTACATGTGGTAAATAAATATTTATCAAGTGCATCTTAGGATGCGCACCCAAGTACATATCAAAGCTCCTCATGGGGGCCCAGCTCCTGAGGACAGGAACATGACCTTAGTCATCCCATCTGTCCCACGAGCCTGGGACAGAGAAAGGAGTAGGTGAATAGTTGGCTTGCTGAATGAATGATAGTCTCTTCCTCCAGGATGTGGAGGCTTGTTATTTCCTGAACCTCTGTTAGAATTATCCCAGCACTGACATGTCTTTCATTCAGCCAGACCCTCATTCCCAGATTACATTGCAGCGCTAGGGAGCCCCTGGATGCCCAAACATGTGAATTTATTTGTTCATCTTCAGGGTTGGGAGGAGAGTGTTTTGAGATGGGCAGAATATAGTGCTTGCTAGTAGCTAGGTGCATGTCAGTAAGGGTCAGTGCAGTGGTCTGGGAGCAGAAAGGCAGGCAGCATAGATGTGTTGCTTGAAACCAAATCTATCCCTGACCATTAGGAACCATACCCAGTCCAGCACAGAGGGCAGCAAGGGCAGGACTGCCGCACGTGACTTTCAGCACTGTATTTCTAGGTACAAAGCAAGGGCTTTGGTTCTTGCTGGTTATAGAGTAGTCCGAACTTTGTCCTTCTCCGGAGTCACTGAGCAGCCTTCCTTTGTCAGCTCAGGAACACGCATGGCCCTGACTTCGACCTTGGAGGGTGCAGTACTGCTCACTTACTTCAAAAAGAACCAAACAAAAATCAGTCACCAGGACCTTGTCTGGGAGCTGAGGACAGTACTAGTCAGGAAGACCACAGGACCTGCCTTCTTGGGCTGTGCTAAATGGAGTTTCTAATGCTCTCAGGGGTGCCTGGCTTGAGAACCAAGGAGACCAATTGGCTGGCTGGAGAGTCAGGGCTGCCAGGCAGAGTGAGAGTGATTGGTACCCTGCTGTACTACCAGTCCACCCAGGAGAGGGATAGTCAGGTTTTGGTGAATTTGGTGATTGGTCCTTGCCAGACCCACTGAATTGACCCCACAGCAAGGTACCTGTGAAATCAGCTATCAGCAGATTTATGAGATGGTTTAAGAATGACAGCCTTGCCTGCCCCAGACCCAATGTCTGATGCCCGTCCTGGTGGCTATCCACTCTAGATTCCTCTTCAGGCCTTTTTTTCGGGATTCCACCTGCTCTTGACATTTATTATCTTCCGCACCATGTTACAGTGCAGTGCTCGGGTAATTGTTTCCCAGACAGCTCAGGGCCTGTGCTCACTCCTCAGCAAGTTCCCCCAGATGCTGCCTTTATAGGTTGGGTTATATCAGGAAGCTCTGCTGCTGGCCTGTAAAAATTGGACAGTCATTTCCCTGTGGGCCTTATGTGTGTGCACAGAGGACAGAGGGCAGCCTCTTGCTTTCCCTTTTGTGTCAACCCTAAAAAGGATGGGCTGAAGGTGGAGTGAGAGCCTAGAACTTGGTCAGCTCTGTTGGGTACAGATTTAAAACTTGGGGAGGTAACTTCTTTTTTTGTGTGTTTAGGCTGGGATCATAGAAGAGATGTTAGAGGACACATTTGAAAGCATGGACGATCAGGAAGAAATGGAAGAAGAGGCCGAAATGGAGATTGACAAGATTCTGTTTGAAATTACAGCAGGTATGACTCAGTGAGACTCCACTTCCTCCTGCATCCTCTCAGGGCTATTCCTCTTGCTTTCTTTAGGCCATTATTGCCTTAGTCATGCATGTTTTATTTAGATTATGTATGTAATCTTTTGAAAAAGAGCATCTTATCTATAGCCATTTTGAAAAACTCAAAAATAATTTTTTAAGTTCCTAGAGCTTTTAAGGGAAGGTACTGTTGTTGGAAGTTTAAATGGGTTTCATTTCTTAAAAGCTGTCAGAAGCCCAGCATATCCACATCTAGGAATTACCCTAATGAACTGGATTCCTGGTGTGATGCTGTAGGATCAGCACTGGACTGTGAACCACAGGGTTGGCAGTTCAAACCCACCAATTGTTCCTTGGAAACTGTATACCGGGGTCGCTATGAGTCAGAACTGACTCGATGACACATAACAACAACAACAACATCAAAAACCCTTGGCGTACCAGACCCACTTCTAGGAGTTTCTCTAATGAAATAAATAAGGATGTGCTAAAACATTTAAGTCTAGGAAGTCGATAGTTTACAATTTTGAAAAGTTTGAAGCATAGTAAATGCCTCTGCATTTGAAAGAAACAATGCCAAGCTACCAATCCTGTGTCAGTGCATAGTACTGTGGTGGCTTGTGTGTTGCTGTGATTCTGGATACCACCAGTATTTCAGATACCAGCATGGTCACGCATGGTGGAGAGGTTTCAGTTGAGTTAAGACAGACTAGGAAGAAGGAGAGGTGGGCAACTTCCAAATATTTAGTCATTGAGAACCTTGTGAATAGCCGTGGAACACTGTCAGACAGCACCAGATTATTGACTGCTGAAACATGATGAAGGACGCCAAAACACTGTCAGATATAGTGCCAGAAAATGAGCCCCTCAGGTTGGAAGGCACTCAAAATGCAACTGGGGAAAAGCTGCCTCCTCAAAGTAGAGTGGACCGTGATGATGCGAATGAAGTAAAGCTTTCGAAACCTTCATTTGCAGATGAGCCTGACTCACAATTGAGAGAAACAGCTGCAAATGTCACAGCAGTCCTGTGTAGGGTCCAACTCAGGATTGTACGGCTGTCAAGTCCAAACCCCATAGACCTAGTAGCTGTCCTGGTGTGGCCCTATAGGTTTGAACTGCAAGGTCGGTGGTTGAAACACAGTCTAACTCTACACACATGGGATCACCGGGAGTCGGGATTGACTTGACAGCAGCTAACCACAACAACAAATAGGGAAACAGTCACTCACCTTAGGGGAAAATGTGAAGATAGAAAAACAAGTTTTGCTCAGAAGATTGAGCATCTTCATTCATCTTGAAAATATAAGTTTTTAGTGTTATTTAAGAATTTTGAGCTGGAGTTTCAAAACCAAGATTCTTAAAATCATAACCTCTACAGTTATGACTGTGGTGTCAATACATGTTGCTGTTTGCACATGGTTCTAGGAAGAACATGCACTTGGAAAAAGCCCGCAGAAAGAAATCCCACTGTCATAAATGCATACATTTTTTCTAGCTAACTATAATTAGTATATGGATGTTTTCTATATTGACTTTTCAGGTCAGCATTTTTCATGGGCACACTTTTCTGGCTAAATTATTTATTTTTAAACTCTTTATTATGAATTGAGTGAAGTTTACAGAGCAGATCATCAGTTTTTCATTGAACAAATCATACTTTGTTTCTTTTCAGTGATTATAATCCCTCAGTGTAAGTAGTTATCCCACTTCCTCCCTGAGGTTCTTATTTCCATTCCACCCTCCTTTCCAACCCATCTGAACTTTGTCCTTAGATAAATGTTGCCTTTTTGATCTTGAATTGTTAACTATTTCACCATGATCATACCTTACTAATGTTGTCCCCAAAGACACTGTGTCTGACATCCTAATTTCTAGCTACTATGCACATTTGTCAGAATGAGCAATAAATATCCCACCAAAATCACTTCTTTTCAGTTTCTTGTCAGATTGATCCATTTGTGAAGGACAAGAGACGATTGAGGGACTGTGACTTTAAAGACGTTTTATTTGCTGTTTTTTCTTCAGGGGCCTTGGGCAAAGCACCCAGTAAAGTGACTGACGCCCTTCCAGATCCTGAACCTCCAGGAGCAATGGCTGCCTCAGAAGATGAGGAGGGGGATGAAGCCCTGGATGCCATGCAGACCCGGCTGGCCACCCTCCGCAGCTAAGGGTGCCCAGCTGTCCTGCTGTGTTCTCATACACTCCTTAGAAGAAGCTGCCATTTTCTGTATCTCTTGCACTACACCTCTGTCATGAGGCTCTGCATTTTGGGGAAGGTTTTCTGCTCATCTCTTCATTCTCTGCAGAGAGGTCTTGGGGGCTGTGTTAGACATCAGAGGGATGGTTTCTGGTGAGAGATGGTGTCATTAAAAATGCATCAGTTTCAGGGGCATAAACAGACTCATCTTATTGGAAGGAGTGCAGAAAATTTTGTCTTCTCACCAAGTACTTCTGAGAGTAGAGCTGATTGCCTGAATGTTGAGGGCTTTGTACATGTTTTTGTCTGTAAACAGTATATAAAGGAATTTTAATAAATTGCTGCTTTAACACATGGTCTTACTGTAGGTTGTCATGTGCAGTGAGCGTTGAAGGTGTTTGCTGCCCCAGGTTGTTGTCTTTGGAAAGAGGATATTCTAAAGCCAGGAGTATGACACTTGAGGCTCAGTGGAAGGGGCTTCTGCTTTGTGGGTGCTGCTCCCCTGCCATTCACAAACTTGTCAAGGGAGCCATACTTCTGTATTTTGTCATCTTTTTAACCAAAAAGGATGCTTAGGGATTGTGCCCCCTGTTATGGTGGCTGGACAGTTGTATTGTGTACTATGCCCTAGTGTGTGTCTTTGCAGTTAACTATCATTCCTTCCCATTACAAGCAGTGCTCAGAGAAGCTAACTATGAAATTAGGACCCTTTCACCCTGTCTGTCTCACCTTGCTCTGAGCTGATTATCTTGGATGGTTGGGATCTGAGTCTTTCCATCAGTGTTTCCTCAAAGCCAGGCAAAGCGTGGTCATTCATCAGAACCGATTCTTAGGGATCTAGAGCATTCTTAAAATTCATGTATAAACAATTCAACAGTAGCATTGTGTATGTGTTTGACAGTTTGATCTGATTCCTTTTTTACTTTAGCTGACTGAAATGGCATATCATAAATCATAGGAAACAGTTCCTGTCCTGTGTGCACTAAACTAGCCAGGTCGGAACACACTCAGCCCTCTCTCACAGACTGACATTTGTAGATCGTGCAGCAGAATCTTGGCACCTATCTAGGGAGTTTCAACATACAAAATAGCCATCTTGAATCCAGAGGAGACCCTCCTCTTTGATTTCATCTGCAGGCTACAGCTTTTAAGATTGTATTTATCTAGCTAATTTCCTCACAGAATGATACTGGAATTAAGGGATACCCTAGATCCCCAAGAATTTCTATTCTTAGATGAGTAATTAAACTTTATCCAGGGAGATGATTGGACAGTGTCTCAGGCTGGGTTTTGCAGAGGAGTAAAACCATTGACTATATATATATATTTAAACATTTATGTAACTAAAGGCTGTAGGTTAGACAGCCGGCAGGCAGGTTGAGCAGGTAAGAAGGCAGGCTGCTGACAACTCCTGCAGGATCAGCAGGCAGTAGGCTACTGGCTCAAGTCTAAAGAACCAGAGATGGAATGACAAGTAAGATGCAGGCTCCAGACGCAGCAGAAAGCAAGCTAGCTGCCGGAATGTCCAGTGTATCGGAAGCAGAACACACCCCCAAGGAAACGTCCTTTGAGCTGAGTGGCTGTGCACAGATGATCTCATCATAGAGGTGATTACATTACATTTGATCTCACCATGAGGAGTAACAAACTACATCTTAACTGCCCAAACCAATGAGAATCCTGGCTGACCCAGTCAAGCTGACACATGACAACTATCACAGAATAAATAATGACCACCTCTCTTCCAGCTATCCAGATAAAAATGGCATCACCTAGGATTCGTTACATACTCCGGACATGTTACCAGGAGGAAGCAGTCCCTGGAGAAGGACATCATGCTTGGTAAAGTGGAGGGTTGGAGGAAAAGATGAAGACGAGATGGATTGGCCTAGTAGCCGTAGCAATGGACTCAGATGTAGCAACGATTGTGAGGTTGGTGCAGGGCTGGGCCGTGTTTTGTTCTGTTGTAAATAGGTTTGCAAGATCAGCAATTCAAACCCACCAACTGCTCCATGGAAACCCTATACAGGGTCACTATGAGTCAGAACCTACTGACAGCGTTTAAACAGGGTTGGTGTGTTTTCATTTTAAGGCCGTCCCTTGTTTCACATTCTTGCTTTCAAGATAAGAATGGGGTATTATTGCCTGGTTCTTATCTTCGCTAGCCCCCCCCACCCCCAGTACTTCACTGCTGGGTAGTGTTGGCCAGGTGAGTCAGACATTGCCCTGGTCCTCGACAGGCTTTAATCTTGGAAGGGAAGGAGCAGCTATGCAGGCTGGCAATGAAACTTTTCCTGTGGTCAGGCTTTTCGGACAAACCCCAGCAGCCCCAGCCCCAGGATTCCTATCCCACCCACCCCCAGTTCACTGTCCAGTCAGTGTCCAGCTTGAAGGAACCGTCCAGCAGTACAGCGCGCCCCCCCCCCTTTACTGTCCCATCTCTTCTGCCAGATTACTGTTCACATGGTCTTAACCTGCAGCCCCTTGTATTGTCTTTCCATCTTTTTCTCAGAACTGGAAGCAGTTAAGCCTCACGACGCCCCTGGGAGTCGGTTTGATTTATAGCAACACTGTATTGGTTTCTGAGGCTGTAAATCTTTATGGGAGCTTAAAGCCTTACATCTCCCATGGAACCACTGGTAGGTTCCAATTGCTGACCATGAGATTAGTAGCCTGATTCTGAATCACTACTCTCTTTTATATTTCATACTGGCCCCAAATATACTAGTCACTCTTGCCTCTCCCATGCCCCCAGCCCTAAACTGTGGTTTCAGGGACAGCTGATGACTATCATTTTAAAAACTTTGAAAAACTGTTCTTAACCAAACCTAGATACTAATCAGCAAGAAAGAATCTTAAGCAGCAAAAACAACTTGGGAAATGTTTGGGTAAAGAAATAGGTTTCTTTATAACTTTCCAAATGTATTGACAGTTTTCTTTTGACATGCTGGCATTAACAGCCCTTAGCCACAGGACTAAGCACCACTGTATTCTGCTGTATACAGTGTCACTAAGTCAGCACTAACTTGATAGCACTTAACAGCAGCCAAACAATTTCAGAAATGCAGGTCTAAAAGGACAGTAGGGAAATGCCTTTATTTAGGTTAAGGACATAAACTTCTAGAGATTGTTAGTTTTAAAACATTCATTTGTAAATCTGTTATATTTTACAGTGTTTCTTTTTTGTCTTTGGAGGTGATGGTGTGGAATTTTCACTACCTTCTGTGGTGAGTTAACATGTATATTCATATTTTGATGTAGTCCATAGATGGTTTGGGTCACAGCGTACTTTTTTACACATTACCAGATTTGTTCTTGCTGTTTCATCTATAATTGTTACTGTGTTAAAAAGTAATATTGATCATTATTTCTTGCACTGTTCCCAGACTTTGGTATTAAAATATGTGCCTGCTTCTCACTTATCAAATATTTGGTGATCAGACATTTCACATTTACAATGAAAATCTGTTTTTCTTATTAACCACCTGTATCTGGCAGTAATGGATACCAAGGTACAAGCAAGTGTAATGCTGGCTGTGATGATTGTTACCTTAGTGAGTCACTGTTGGTAGTATACTAGCCTTATAGATTGAATCGTTTTCCCATTCCCGACGAATTGGTATAAAATGGGATGATGTGTTAATGCAGTTCTAGTACAAAGTCACCTGTAAAGCTACTTAAGCCTGGTGCCTCTTGGAGGTTAGGACTGTACAGATTGTCTTGTCTGACAATGGAATGAATACCTTTAATGGTATTTGTATCGGATGTGAAAGCTGGACAGTGAATAAGGAAGATCGTAGAAGAATTGATGCCTTTGAGTTGTGGTGTTGGAGAATATTGAAAGTGCCGTGGGCTGCCAAAAGAACCAATACATCTGTTTTGGAAGAAGTGCAGCCAGAGTGCTCCTTGGAGGCCAAGGTGGCTAAGCTTCGTCTCTCATACTTTGGACATATTGTCCGGAGGAAACAGTCACTGGAGAAGGATGTCATGTTGGGTTAAGGTGGAGGGTCAGAGAAAAAGAGGAAGACCCCTAATGAGATGGATTGGCCAGGTGGCATCATTGATGGACTCAAGTGTGGCAGTGGTAGTGAGGTTGGCCCAGGATCGGACATTGTTTCGTTCTGCTCTGCATGGGGTCGCTGTGAGTCAGTTCCGACTCGATGGCACCTGACAACAACTACTCTTATCAGTAATGCCATTCTATTCTTCATGCTTCCATTCTGATAAGAGGACACCTTTTTTCTTTTGTTCTACTCACCTTCTGAGATGCTTTATCATTTTTAGTTTTTCAGAGCATTTGACTATGACGTCTGAGTGTGTAGTTTTCTTTGTATTTATCCTGCTGGCATTTGCTAAGCTTCCAAGGTCTGTGGGTTGGTATCTTGATCAACCTTAGGAAAATTTCAGACTGTATCTTATTATTTACTCAGTTTTCTGGGAGTCGTTACACGTTAGATTGTTTGATATTGTCTGCCAAGTCTATTGTTTCTATTTGAATAATTTCTCTTGACCTGTCTTGGAATAAGAGCCTTGCTTCCCTGGTGGTCGGTCCGTCTATTGACAGGACCATCTTGTAGGCCTGTCTTCTGCTATCTTCACTTTAGAATTTCCATTTGGTTCTTTGGTTAGGGTTTTCTCTGCTTAAATTATGGTGATTGCAGTTTCCATGGGAGAAAGATGAGGCTTTGTGCTCCCGTAAAGATTTACAGCCTCAGAAACCCTCTGCAGGGTCACTGTGAGTCAGAACCGACTCCACAGCACCCCACCACCAGCAAGGGAAGGCTAACCAAGGTGCACTATTGGGGCCAGGATACACTCCTGGTAGGCGTGAAAACTGGTACAATGATTTTGAAAAAGAGTTTGTTTGGCATTACAAACTATTAGAATATTTGAACATAGTCAAGGAATAAAACCAACAGAAGCACACAGTCTCATGCACCAAAATAAAATAGCTCATGTAACAGCATGTGAAAGAATACAAATAAATATTCATCCAAAGTATAAAGGATAAATGATGGTATATTCATACAAAGGAAAACTCCCGAGTGAAACAGAATAACTACATGCAACAATGTAAAAGAACAAAAGGCACAAATGTTGTTCTACCTTATCAAGTTGATACAGTTCAAACTAGTGCTAGAATGCAGAAGAGTAGTGACCTCTGGGACAAAGCTAAGTGGGGGTTCTGAAATGCCGGATCCTTGGGTATTGACTTTGTGGTGATTTCTTGAACTTTGTATACTGGGTTCTAGCTGTATTACCTATAGTATGTTTGCTTCCCCGATTGGCCCGCTAGACCACGGGATGTCTCCTCTTCAGTGTAGCCTTAAAAGGGTAGTATCCAATTCCTCTGCTTTTAGAAAAGCTCTCAAAAGCATTCTCTTCCACATGACAGGTGAGTTGAGTCCACCACCAGGTGCCAATAAACTGAGCCAATATATTACATGAATACTTTAATGCAAAATGCTTAACACTTAAAATTAGCAAAGCTTTATTTAAATTAAAACTCCATGTAACTAAAGACGGTTAATCCCAATAATTGTCCAGTAGCTGATGCCTGCTATGTAGCGCCGGTTCTCAGCAGTACAAGCACAGTGGTGCCATCAGCACTCATTTCCTCCATTGCTCTTTCCAGCCCTAAAGGGCGGTGGGGACTCAGACAGACACGAAACAATACAACCCAAATAAGTTGCACAGAGTGGCTTCTAAGAGTTATAAATTCATTTTGACTACCCTGTCCAATCAGACAGCTGGGGAATAATAACTGCAGGGATTGTTTCAGAGCTGCTAAGAGGTGGTGTTTTTAGAGCTTGGTAAAAGTTCAGAACTAGGTGAGAAATCACAGTTTAAGGATGCATGTTCCTGTAAATAGTTACTACATATACACATTTAGTGTCTGTAAACACTAGAAATATACATTAGACAGAGTACCCTCACAAGTAGGGTACAGTTTAAAAAAGAAGATGAGGTAACATGAATCTCAAAGTCCACAGGAATCCTGCCTGAAGAGTTTGAACAGCTGCCAGTAATTCCCTTCCATCCTGCGGGGGTTAAGGCGTCTCCAGGACCCTCAGGGTTTGCCAAAACTACTGGATTCATTGGCTTTCAGCATAGCAACTGCATCTTTCACTGCATGGTAGATAACATTCTTTACCTAAAATAATGCAGAAAAATTCAGTCATTTCACTTTAAAATGTGTCACTAAAATAATATCTTTTCCCTTCCTTCCCCTGCTCATTTCATGACCTCTCTTAATAGCATTTTAAACTTGACTTTAATCATCATGAAATGTTAGTACTGGAAAAGGCCTCTGACCCAAACCCATGACCCTGACCCCAAGCCCGAAGAGTTTCAAAGCTCATTGTGTGGCACTATAGGACCACAAGGTTGCTATGGCTCAGAACTGACTCAACTGCACTTAACAACTGAGTGCAAGGATACAGAAAATTTATATATTCCTCTCATTTTCCAAGTATGAAATTAAGTGTTCCATACATTAACTGTGAATGTATTTTCTGTTGAGACCCCTGACTGCAGCTGTGTGCCAGGATAAAAAATTCCATCTGCTCATTTTCAGCACAGAAGCCTTTCTAGTCAGGCATAAACCTTCACAGTCTAAGCAACAGGAAACCAATAGGAGATTGTCTCAAAGTCTCTTCTCTCTCAAGTGTCTGGACCTCTATAGACCCACTGGTAGTCAGAGGATGCTAGGAGAATCGATGCCATTTTACCTGCAGTTTATCTTCATGATTGGTGTGGGTTTGTGACAGATAGCGGAATTCCTGAGTAAGCCAGAAGCAGTGTTTAACATGCTCTGGAGAAACAAAATCTTCAGCCACTTTAATACAGCTATATAAGTTATGAACCTGGAAGACAAAAACCATACCAGTAAGGTACTCCAAAGTTCAGAGTATAAAGAGAATAAAGAAAACAGTAATGGTTCTTACCTGATGTGGAGCTCCAGCAGGGATAAACACAACATCTCCAAGAAACTGTACAATAGCCCAGCCTTGAACTCCATATTCTTGATGAAGACGTTTTCTTAGGGATCGGTCTAAATACCAGCTCTGATCATGAATAGGGTCGTGGTCTACTGGGTTTTCTTGTCCTTGCTCTTCTGATACCTAAGGGTACATTCAAAATACAGTGCAATGAACAGTGTTGGTATTGACATGAAAACACATGTAGTCTTCAAAAACGGCTGACTGAACCAGTAGAAGAAAAGAACATGTAGCTTCTCCCAAACTGTGACTTAGTCTATACATGATTGTAAATTCTGTATTTGGAAAGTATTTTTCACTAGACTTTTTGAAAGTAGGCTTAGTTTTTTTTTCTCTGTAAATTTGTTCTGCAGTTATTTAAAACATGTATTTTACTTAGCTGAACCACAAAACAGTCTCAAAGGTAGATGTAGATTAAACTTTTAAAGAAGAGCCTCGTTTATTCTGGACTAGTAACTGGCAAAGAACAGACTCAGGGTCACACTATCAAAGGAATAACACAGTAACCAGCAGGTTTTCTGGAAGAATCAAATGATTAAGGGCCAGCTGGTAGCATAGTGGTTACAAATCGGGTCTAGAACCACAAGGTCAACAGTTCAAAACTACCAGTTGTTCTGCATGAGAAAGATGAGGCTTTCTGCTCCTGTAAGGATTTACAGCCTAGGAAACCCTGTACAAGGTCGCTATGAGTCAGAACCGACTCCACAGCACATAACAGCAACAGAACTGTTCACACACCTTAGAAATGACGCAAGAGTATCCAATGAAGACACCTGGTGTGGTAGTGAGAAAATGATGAATGACCCACTAAACACACCCTAGAACCTCCACATGGACCCCTGAATGAATGATTTACCAACTACAGGGAAAAAAACCTGGACCCGTCAAAACAACCCCTGCAGAGATTCAGACTGATAAAGGTGAGGAAGTCAGAAATACAGAGCAATGTAAGAACTCGGGCCTCACTGGAAACATTTAAGAAAAGCTTATACAACCATTATTTTAGTAAAGAAACTCATGCATTATAAGAGGTGACTAATAACCATATCAGAATGTGATCAGATAAAACAATTTAAGGAATTCCTTGGAACCTATAGTAAACTTACAGAAACCTGCTTTTTGGATTGTGTTAAAGACTTCACAACAAGAAGTAATAAACCGGAAGAGACAACCTGTTCAGAGCATTGCTTACAGAATTATTTAAAAATAAAAACTATCCACAAGATTTCAGGAACATCATAATCAGCAGAATGAAGCTCTAGCAGCCAAAGCAGGACTCCTTGGTCAGCCACGATAGTCAAGCCCTGATGGCTGGACTTTGATGCAATACTGCTAACAGTATTGCATTGGAAATGAGGATTCATATGATAGAATCTGATCAAAGCAAAAGTCACCAGGCGAAACTGTCTGACAAATGGAAACTGCTCGGATTTTCAACAAAAGCAAATAGATGCTATGAGTTGATCAGAGGGACGAACTACCACCAGCACAAAACCCTCCAGATGCACTGCAACAGGAAACCAACAAGGCCTCCTCTTTCCAGAGAGATGTAAGCCAAATCCTTTAGAAACCTTGCTCCATAGTAAAACCATCTTCAGCCTATCCAATCTTATGTGCATGAATTTAACTTTTGACAATCCACAGCAACCCAGTCAGTTCACAACAGGTAGCAATTTACAACGGTCGCAGGTTGGTTTGAACCAGAGGGTCGGCAACTCACTCACCAGCTGCTCACTACGATTCATAAACGATTCGTTGGCACTTAACAACACCTTCCTTTGAAAATGTGTCACCTATACCTATGTATCCATCTTATACTGAACTTTCTCCCTGGTACAGCAAGAACTCCACAAAGAGGACTCCAAAACAAAAAAAGGCTATGACAGAGCATGTTTAAAGGTAAGAAACAACACTAAGGTCACAACACAAAGCCATTCAGCACAGGATTTAAGAAAATGAAACAAAACAAATGCCTAAAATCAGAGGTTTCTTCTCACATCATAAAGATAAAAAGCATACCTTTTTAAGGAATTCTCTTATCTTTTCTGTATCTTTAGCAGCATATATATGCCAGAGGGCTCCTGGTTTCTCTTTTCCTTCGATAAATCGCTTTATCGTGAGTTCATCAGAATCTCCATCCTGGATACTTTTAAGGACTTCTAGAAGAGAAAGCAAATACTGACTGTGGTCCCTCTAGCTCACAGGGTAAGCCTCACTTTCATACTCACTTACTACGGCTCTTACCGTCTTCTTGATCACACTGTCCTTTGGGAATTCCCACATAGACCATGACATTGGCTGCATCGGATACATCTAAATGAAGATTTGTTGTTCCATATTTCCTATCTTCTGGTGTAATTAATCCTGCAAAAAGAAAATGTGTTAAATTTACTTAGAACAAGAATTCTGTACTCCCTAGGAGATACTTTTGTTTCTGTAAATCAAAAAGGAAAAAAGAACATTTACTAATATAGTTCTTTTTAATTCTGAAAAAAAAAAAAGTATCTTGTCAAATATTTGATGACATGATAAACAGTGAAGAACTATAGCATAGTCAGGTCTAGAATTGAACTCACCCCCATGGCTCAATGTTCAGCCAAGTAACAGACAGGTCTATAAATGGGAGAACAGTAGGTTCACAAACCAAAGAGGATGGTCAACCATCAAAATAAATGGGATGACATTTACCTAAAAACCATCAGATGGGCTGGGAAAGGAGGAGGACTGGAAACAAGCACAGGGAAGAAGTGGGATAAGTGATGTTACATTGAAGGGACTGCAATCATGGAGTTTTGAAAAACTGAATGTGAAACTGATGATCCGGCTCAGTAAACCTGCACTCAATTTATCTCCACACAAACAAGCCTCTCTATACTCAGCTTTCGGAGAAAAATGGTTAAGCCAGAGCCAGTGCTCATTGTTTGTGACGGTCTCTTCCCCTAGAGAAGGTTTATCCTGCTCAACAAAGTCAGCATGCAATAAAAACAAAAAGTATATTTTCTTCAGTTTTTAGTGTGTTTGGACTCTTCCCCTAGAGAAGGTTTATCCTGCTCAACAAAGTCAGCATGCAATAAAAACAAAAAGTATATTTTCTTCAGTTTTTAGTGTGTTTGGACAAGTGACAGCATGGATCAATATTTAAAATGCCTATTTCTACTTATATAAAGCTCAAAATGTTGTTTTGGGATATAAATATATTAGATAACAACATTGATGTAAGGGATCTTAAACTTCAAGATGGTCAACATAGGATGGAACTGGGAGGAAGAGCCCACGACCCCCAGAAAGAAGACCAGGTCTCAAAGCCTTCTCAGGAGAGCTGTCTGTTGTTTTAATTACTTCAGCATTGACTACAGCAAGAATGTGGAACTAGAAAGCAATACCCCCACCCATCAGCCCTAAATCTATACAATCTTGAACTTGAGGGAGCCTAAATTCAGATGGAACCTAAATTATAAAAACATAATGGTCACAGGGAAAGGATTCCCAGAAAAATAGAAACTCCTGAAGCAAAATATACTGGGCTTTTATGAAAAGAAGCATAACCTGAAATAACTGGGCTGTTAGGGGAGGTAGGATGATGGGTTCTAGCCCAGAAATCAGGAGAGCTAACTTCTAGTTTCAGATCTACCAGTAGCTGCCCCTTGGAGATCCTGAGTACAGATCAGTGTCCCTTCTTTTGTCCTGAATCTTGGTGCCCGTTTATAAAGCTGGGGTTGGTGCTAAAACTGGAGAGGGTCAACTAAGCAATCTCCCTGAAGACCTTTTCATTCTACTTTGACTGTAGCAACTCTAATGTTTATTTCCAGATAAGAACAATTTTGTCATAGGAAAAACTTTCATAGATGAACACTGCCATCTACCAGTGTTCTGAGGACAAAAACCTGCTGCCAAGCTATGTAAGCCAAGCAGGCAATTGATTCTGAAATGTCTCATACCCATTTCTATGCTATAATAAGCCTCATAATTTCTTTTGAGTATGGCCAATCATTGTGCAACAATATCCATTTACTCCAATAGAAAAAAAATGCTTTTATTTACATTTAATTGTAAATCTCCACTGTCAACAGAGTTTGCCCTGAGATATCCCAGTCATTGAAGTTGCTTTGAAGGAACAAGTAAAGCTGGGCCAGGGTGTGTGGCTCTCTAAATTAAGACTCAAGATTTCTGCCTGCTAAGACCTTTTTCTCTCAGACCGTTTCTCATCCTTCCCCAGCCAGGAGGGAAGGGGGAATTAGTTAACTGACTTAGAGGGTAGTTATGTGTTAACTTCGGTGACAAGGGAGACAGTTAAAAACAAAACACTAGTTGAAATTTACTGAAAAATCCAAACAGAGTTCATTCAACAACAAACTGGTAAATAATTCCTTCAAAATATTGTTGTATTTGTTGCAGTAGATGTTAAAACAATGAAATATAGCAGATTGACCTAAATGTCCAATGTTAATAAGATTATTAATCTTACTAACATTGGACATTTAGGTCAATCTGCTATATTTTAGACTACATTAGTCTATATAATAGACTACATTCATTCAATGATGTACTCATGCAACCACTAAAAAATGATCACACCTCAGACTGTTGTAGCAACAGGAACAGATTTTACAATATTTTAGATATAGAAAAGTAAAATGCCCAATTGCACATGCTTTACAATTACAAAGAAAATGAAATACTGAATATGATTGTAATATTAAGTGTTAGGATTATGGATGTCTTCCATCCCCCAACCCCCCTTTAAAACCAACTTTACAAACATTTGACTAGTTTTATTTTGACTATCATTTTTAAAGTTAGTAATTTTCTCCTTACCATAGGCATTATACATCTTGGGACCCAGATCTGGTCGAACAAAGTAGTTGGGCAGCCTAGAAGCCAAGTTTAGTTTGCCATCTCGCCTTGTGTACTCAGGCAGTGGAATATTAGCCATCAGATCATCAAACCTAGGACAAAAGAGCCAGGAATTTGCAAAATACACTTGCTTTGCAAATGCATCAGTATATACTGTATGTCCCTAAAACTTTCAAAGATTAAGAAAACAATGTACTTTTGCTTCCACTGCAGAACCTGAAATAAAAGTGTTTAATATAAGCTTTTGTTTTATTCTTTCTATACCACAAGAAGCAAACTAAAATACATTGATCATGAAATGGTAAAGATAACTATCATTAACATTTAAGATTAGAATTATATTGATTATGAAAAATGATCTCTTTTTTCTCTCCTATACCACATACATGTGTTGAAATGATCTGGAATATTTCAGAGAAAAGATCTGAGCAATAAATTCCATATCATAAGAAATAAAAAGGAACATACTAAGTTCTGAGGCTTCTTTTCACGTTTCAAGCCCAAGTCAGGAAAATGGATCTACCAGCTTAGATGTTTTATTTTCTAACTCAATGATTTAACTAAAATATTATACTAAACTCCAACAGGTTTGATGAAATGGTTACTGTCAGTTGTTGTAAAGTTGATTGCAACTCATGGCAAACCCCCCAGTGTTCTACAGCAACAACTTACAGGGTTTTCTTGACTCATTTTAATGCAAACAGATTACTAGGACTTTTCTTCTATGGTACCGCTGGCTGGGTTCTAACCACTGACCTTTAGGTTAGTATTTTAAGAGCAAACGATTGGTACCAGCTAGGGACCTTCTGATCAAACAGTACTGACTTGAAATCAAAACTATACGGGAAAACATGTTCAGAGCTTTCATGGTTCAGCAGAATCTGAAATCATTAACAGTTGAAAAATACCTCTAAAAATTACAGACTAGGAATGAAAACTCAGGAAATATGGGAACTTTCTATGTTTCACTGTAAAAAATTTTCTCCCTACCTCAAAAAAGAATTTCTTCTACCAAGTCAAAATCAGAAACCATCACTCCCCACTTCCATAACTTTACCTGGAAGGCATCATATCTCTAAAATCTTCTCCTGGTGGCCAGTCCTTAAGTTTCAATACCATTGGTTCTTTGTCATTTTTTAAACGATCTGAAAGGTAACCAGAATAACTCAGTTGTTATTGTTCACAACTCAACAACACACCAAAATAGATGCCAAATTGGCCTTTCATGCTTCAACAATTCAAATTAAATATGTTTTATTTATTTATGTAAAAACTCCATATCCTTTGTAACGTTGTTAAGTGCTGCTGGGTTGGTTCTGACTCATAGTGATCCGTTATAGGGTTTCTAATAAGTATCCGGTGGGTCTGAACCGCTGATCTTACAGTTAGCAGTCCAATGCTTATCCTACAGTGCCACACCAGGACTTTTAATATCACACCCCCCCCCATTGCCAACCATTTTACTTCTACAGTACTGAGAAATCCACTTGTACTCAAGGCATAAATGTCTTCTCTAGACATTTATTAAACTGCTACTTGACCTCTGAGATTTCAGCCGCTGTTTGCCCAATATAAATGCTTCTTGCAACAACTGTCCTTTCAGACCCAATCTGCTTTCCTATGCTGTGCTCTGTAAAAAGCAGCAGCTCCAACTAACTGACCAACATCAATGCATTTTAATAAAGCCCACAGATGTTTAGTGAAACCAACTTTCTGAGTCTAGCATGTAACAGAGATGACTGATTTTTTGCTGAGGGAGACAGACTAGCCCGAGTATGTCCAGGGACAACAAAGCACACTCTGCTCCATCTTCCACCTCCAGGATGATACAAACAAGGTTCAGTCAAAACCATTTTCTAAGTTTCCAAAGCAGTAAAATTCAAGGGACCAAAACCTAGGAGCTCAAATTGTAATTTCATTGCATACTGTATTCTAATCTCTGCTGTTTTAACTATTTACTCCACACCATGTTTAGTATAACAATGAGATCACTGTTTTTGAATGAGGAAATTAGCACTCAATAGGACTCCTGCTGGGCACTGAACTGCTAACCATAAGGTTGACAGTTCAAATCACAAGCCCCTCCTGAAACCTTCTACAGTCATTATGAGTTGGAACTGACTAGATGTCACTTAACAACAGGTGGCCAAGATCATCTGTTACATGACAGAATCAGATCGGATTTCAGTTTGTGCACTCAAAGACTAACATTTGTATGTTTTATACCTAAACACTGTTCCTGATTAAAGTACATGTTACAGCGTACGCTGAGAACATCAGCTTTTCTGAATGGATGGTATGCTGAGTGTGTATGCAACAGAATTATAAATTTAAATAAACTACTTTGGACTTTGGGACTGCCTTAAATGCCTGCTGTTAAGTGCTGTCAAGTCAGTGCTAACTAACAAGAGACCCTGTATAGGGTTTCCAAGGAGCAGCCGGTGGGTTTGAGTAGCCAACCTCGTGGTTAGCAGTCCAGTGCTTATCCTACAGTGCTACACTGTAAATGTCCACAAGCACAAAGAAGTTTGAACACCAAAAAAGTTAAATGACCAAGCTCACAGAATCAGCAAGTGCATATCAAGACAAGAACTGAGCCACATCTTCAAGATCTGCTTCAGGTACAGAAAGCTGCCTGGCCAGGTCACGCTCTTTGCTCTTCCCAGGTGATTCCCATTTAGAGACTGAGGGAGTTAGGTGTAGGGAGGCCCTGACATTACCCACTCAGCCCAATATGAGATGTGTGGGGCCTGTGTTGCATCTGGACTTCTGACCACTAATTCTTCCTCTTTCATTCCAGAGATCTGTATAGATCCCTAATAAACACAATCCAATCATGTCATGGAGAAAATCAGCTCTAATTTTGCTACAAAGGTTTTAAAAATATGATCTATATCCTGCACACCTGGGTAACATGGACTAAGAAAGCAAGAGATTAAAAGTATGTTTTAAAAAAAAACAAAACTCTGAGTGAGCATGATAAATAAGTACCCCTTAAGCTTTTATTATTGTGTCAAAGTGAAGTGGTCACATACTCTAGTTGGCCTGGGGGCACAGTGACCTGTGGCTGTGCTATCTGCAGAGACAACCTGGACTTGATATACATACATCACTGACCATTGGCCAATCTACAGAAAGGGCCACAACTTGGCAACCAGACACAGGAGCCATCTCTCCTGCCACAGCTGCCCCTCTCATCCAGATGAAGTAATCACCAGTAGATGGAACTCACGTTCCTTGGCACTTTCAGGTGCCAATAATTACAATGAAAATCATAGGTATAATGAAGATGAGATACACAAACACCATCAGCCTTGACTCACTTGCCGTTGCTCTGTGCATACCCCTCCCCCTCTCCTAGGGCCACAGATAAGGGCGTCACCTAAAGAATCCACAACTCAAACCTCACCTAAGGAACTACACACTGAATTCACTTCAGTTCAAAATCATAAAATTAGGAAGAGAAAGGAGGAAACAGTAAATTGAAACTCCAATAATCATAAAAAATGTCACCAAAGAGTCTCCCCTGCCCTCTTTTCACATTCTCAACTCTGCTTAACCATTTGCAGCAACCACAAACTCCTCTACCCTCTTTAATGACCTTTGAATACATACTTGAAATATCTTCAAATCCATCCCAGAAGTCTCCTACTGTGGCTCCCGTGATGATTTCATTGGTCCTGCAATTAACGAGGTCAACTTCCTGATCACCGAACTCTTTTCTGAAGGATTCAGGTTTCCAAAGTTCAGTGTTCAGTTTATGGTGCACTCCAGACACCATCACTGGCTAAAAGAAGAAAATGAAAATTTTAGTTTGAATTCTCCAGCTCTACCATTCATGCCCGTAGGCAGCCTCTCTTTTAATAGTTGTTGGTTTCTATGTAGCTGGACCTCAACATGGACTGTTAACTCATCTGCTAACATACACACAAATTACTCTCAAACTAGATTAATAAGCTTCTAGAGTTAAAAGTCAAACCTTCGAACTAGATCCCAATGCTCATGGAATACCAACTCTAAGGCCCATGTCTATGTAGAAAATGTGGAAAGAAAAAAGCCCAGAAGAAGGGCGCTGTGCAAAGCAGCTATCACTGGTTTCTAGTCTGTTGTTGCCAGGCAGCAGTCTGAACTTAAAATTGTCAAGTTTTTTGGCTGTCTGAGAAAAGCTAGAAATTCTAAGTTTAAGAGAAATAGCCTATTAATTATTGGCAATCAGTTCAATTGGTTTCATTTTTAGTTAATATAACAATTTTTTCATCTCAATAAAATTATTGAATAACGTAACAGTTGAAAGACACTGCAACCATTTTTTAAATTACTTCTTTTTTTAAGTTTCTGTTGTGAATTGAGTGATAATTTCATTGCAACCATTTTTATGTGCCCAATTCAGTGACATTAATTATGGTCCCAATGTTAAACAAATTCACCATTGTTATTGTTAAGGGCCACTCATTCGGTACCTACTCAGAGATCCTTTATAGGGTTTCTGAGGAGCAGCTGGTGAATTTGAACTGCCTATCTTATCTCTTCAACCTTAAGGTTTAGTGCTTATCCTATGACACCACACCAGGACTCCAATTCACCACTGTCCACTTCTAAATTTTTTCATCACCCTCAACATAAAGTCAGTACCCCTTAAACAATATGTCATTATTTCTCTCTCCAATCTGCCTCTGGTAACCACTATTCTATTTTGGTCCTTATGTATTTAGCTATTTTAAATATTTCATATACGTAGAATCATATAATATTTGTCCTTTGTGAGTTATTTCACTCAGCATCCATATTGTAGCATGTTAACAGAACCATCACTTCTCTCTAAGGGATTTCACTGTTTGCACAGTTCATATGTAATTTATCCATTGATGAACACTTGGGTTGCTTTTACCTTCTTGCTATTGGTAATAATGCTAAGTGACGATTGGTATGTCCATACCTGGGTGGCATGCATGGTATTCTATGGTTCATTTGAAGGAGCCACCACACAGTGTGTTCTCCACTACCACGGCTCCATTTCACAATGGCACCAGGGGTTCCGATTTCTCCACACCCTAACACTTAGTTTTGGTTTTACTGATGATAACCATCCTAATAGGGCTGAAGTGGTATCTTACTGGGGTTCGGATTTACATTTCCTTAATAATTAATAATGTTGAAATCATTTCATGTGCTTACTGACCGTCTGCCTCTTCAAGACCTCTGTCCAAGTTCTGATTAGGTTGTGTCTTATGTTGTTGAGTTTTAGAGCTCTTTATATATTCTGAATATTAGACCATTATTAGTTTTCTAAAATGTTTTTCCCATTCTATAGACTTTTTCTTCACTTTGATAAAAGCCTTTGGTACATAAATTTTAATTTTGATGATGTCCAATTTATTTTGTCTTTTGTTACTCACGTTTTTGGTATCATATCTAAAAATCCACTATTGAAATTTAAGTCCCAAAGTCTGAAACACTGTCATCTAAAGTCAAAGGATGACTTGGTCATAAGCAACCAAAACTCTGTGGGGAAGAAAAGCTCAAAGAAAAGCTCAGAAATGCTAGAAGACTCACCAGCCACACCCTCCCCTAATGATACTCAGCCTAAATAATAAAGTGCAAAAACATAAGGGGATGCCATTTGTAACTGAGGAGGAATAAGACAGGATGGGTATGGCTGTTACTAAGAACCTAAGAAAGAGGATCTGAATCCATTGGGGAAGCAGAGGCCCACATTACCTGCCCTTGTTTCCAGCACTCCCTAAACACATTCCAGTTGCTCTTATTGTTGGGATCTTGCAAGCACAGCAAGCGATTATCACACAGCCAATAGTGAGGAGTGTCAAAGCCCAGAATGCTGGGTTTAATAGTCAGTCCTTGAGGCCTCTTAGATAAATCTGAGGAAGTCTTATTTTGTACTAAGGAAGCAAAGATGTCATCGAGAATTTTTGGTGTATTCTTGAGTCCATTTTCTGTCTGAATTTCAGAAAGAAGGTAAAAGTTTTAAATATGTCATGTCCCAGTATCTTGCCCCCCGCCCCATTCCTACAATTTTAAGACCCCAGCCAAAGAGGCAAAGTCTCCTCCCCCTACTTCATAGCACAACCCACCACAGTGGTACAGGAGAAAAATTGCCAAAAAGTGTAATCCTGTGAAACCCATCTGCCAATTACCTGGTTTTCTATGTTGTTGTTGTTGGTAAGTGCCGTCGAGTCGGGTCCGACCCAGAGCGACCCTGTACAGGGTTTCCGAGGCTGTAAATCTTTACGGGAGTAGAAAGCCTCATCTTTCTCCCGCGGAGCAGCTGGTAGTTTCGAACTGCTGACCTTAAGGTTCGCAGCCCGATTCGTAACCACTACGCTACCAGAGCTCCTTAGTTTTCTATAGCCACGTGATAAACAAGTGATTTCTAATTCCTGTTTCAATTTTCTCTAATCTCTTTACTGTTCTGTCTCTGTTCAACTTTATAAGGTAAGAGTATAAACAAGAAAATGTGCACCTACCTTAGCTGTCGAGGAATTCAAAAGATTTCGGAGGAAACCAGAATTATTGTTGCTTACAGGTGTCAAAATTGTGCTGTTAAAGGTGTGGAGGACTGCGCTGGACTTGCTCAAAGGGGGCAGAGGTGGAAGGCATTTGATCTCATTCTTTAAAATTGGCATTGCTGGTTGTTTTTCTAAAAAACAAAACCAAAAACATCCAGATGGAAACGCATTCTGAAAGTTAAAGTGCTCATTTATCTTCTACTGACAATTACTCTATTACACTGGTTTTCATTTACTGGAACCAAAAAACTTAAGAAGGAGATAAATTATGTCATTATTTAACATCATTTGGTGTTAAAACAATAATATCTGAAATACAAGGGGATAGATACTATGCTAGATGGTTGGTTGTTTTTCTTCACCCCCCAAGTTTCATCTTTTATTTGTTATAAAGAACACTACTAGTTTTTGTAAATTGACCTTGTATCTCATAACCTTGAAAAGACTTCACTAAATGTACATAATCTGATTATCAACAAAGATTGATTGTTTTACTGTCTCCTTTCCAATCAATCCTATGTTTGTTGTTTTTGCTTCGTTCACTGGCCAGGACTTTCAGTACAAAGTTCACTAGAAGGAGTGAAAACAGGTATACTTGTCTCATTTCTAAATGCAGAGAGAAAGTGCTCAAAATTATTGAACCATTTAGGTTTATCATTATCATAACTGATAGACTATATACTTTATTTAGGGTCGAATCTGATTCACTGAAGTTTTATTTAGGATTTTTGCATGAGAGAAACAGGATTGTAATTTTGCTTTCTTTTGTAATATAGCAAGAAAGCAGAATCAACTAACTAACAACCTAACTCTGATTCCAAAGTCCATATTTTTTTTTTACTCTCATCAAGAATCCTAAGGGCCTTTTCTCCCTCCCCAGACATTTTGGCAGCTGCTCTTGGTTGGGGTCATCCCACAGCTAAAGAGGGAAGATGGTGGTTGCAAAGAAGATGAAAAAGATCACCTCTACTCTAGGCTCCAACTTGTTATGAAAAGTGGGAAATACGTGCTGGAGTGTTGGGGTACAAGCAGATCTGATGACCACACAAGGCAAAGCAACACCGCCCAGCCTTGAAGAAATCTGAGGGAGTACTATGACATGTTGACCGAAACTGGTGTCCATCCCTACAGTGACAATAATATTGAACTGGGCACAGTGTGCAAAAAACACTAGTGTGTGCACACTGCCTATCACTGATCCAGGGGATTCTAGTATCATTAGAAGCATGCTAGCACAGACTGGTGAAAAGTACATCATGCAATTTTTATTCTGTAATAAAACTGGAGAGAGGTTGTTTTAAAACACTGAAGAAAAATAAAATTTAAAAATAAAATCCTAAGGTGAGAGGACAAATGAAAAAAACAAAACAAAGCAAAACCCTGCAGCCAGCACATACCAATTAGGATGAAACAGGAACTAGATAGAGTGGGGGTGGGGGTGATTTGCAATGAAGCCAGTTCTGACTCATAGTGACCCTGTGCACGGTTTCTGAGGCAGTAAATCTCTACAGGGTTAGAAAGTCTCCTCTTTCTCCCACAGAACAGCTGGTAGTTTCAAACTGCTGACCCTTAAGGTTCGCAGCCCAATTCGTATCACTATGCTACCAGAGTTAAGAGACCAGAAAATCATTTATTAAAACACATCTCATTCACCACCCAATCACCCCCACTCCATTCTTGCCAAACACAACCTCAACCTAACTTAGAGCTCTTATCTAACTTGGAGTTGTATCATCAGCAAAAGTTCTCCTCTTGGGTGCTGCCTTTGGAAAAATACTTTCAATTATGCAGGTTCCAGGATGACTTTACAGGAATCCACTTTCCACTGCACACAACATCTAACCACTCTGTTCTCACAGCAACTGTAAGTTGCCATGTTCCTCCCTAAATGAGGAACCCAAAAGGAAGCCGGAAACACTCACCCTTGTTTTCCTTGTTGACATTGCCACTGGTTAGATCTGCCAGCCAGTTTAATGGAGACGTGCTGGCTAGACAAGCAGGCCTCGTGCTGCTGGCTGGCTTGGGGGCTGCATCTCCCCCAGCAGTGGCTGGCTCCAGTGTTGAGGGGTTCTGCTGGAGCGCAGCACCAAGAGCAGGTTTTTCTCCAGCTACAGATGTCTGTTAAGTAGAAAAGGGCAATTTTATATAAACAGAAGATTATATTATCCTAATCTCCCATTAACAGCCCAAAACAAAACCACCTTAATACTCCTGGGGATCACCAGAGTTACAGGAGTTCTGAAATAATAAAGAACTACAAAGTAGGAGCAATTCTAATTTTACCTTCTCCGGGAAAAATAAGAGATGCTAAGAATTTAAAGAAGTCCCCTCCAGCCTCTGATCACCCACCTCATGCTCAGACACAACACAGCCCTATCATTGAATGGATCACTTTGCTTTAACAGGACCAGTTTGAGGCTGTGTCTACTGTGAACTCACATGGCTATGGAATGAGTGAGTAAATGAGGCAGGCAGGAAAGTTAAAGCTGTGATTTTCAGAGGAAAAAATAAACAGGGAAAGGGAAAGTGCTCTTTTGACTTAGCACAGATTTGTTTTTGTTGTTAAGTGCTGTCGAGTGGTCCCAACTCATAGCGACCCTTTACAGGGTTTCCAAGAAGCAATTGATGAGTCTGAAACGATGACTTTTCATACGTATTATGCCAACTGCAGTCAAGTCAATCCCAAGTCCCATCCCAGCATGGCAAAGTTAAACTGTTCCTCATAGAAAGTTTCCAAGGCTATCAATCCTTATGGGAGCAGAAAGCCTAATCTAGGCTCCCAAAAAAGTGGATGATGGTTTTGAACCACTGACCTCATTCATGATTAAGAGCCCAATGCTTAACTTAGTATACCATGAGTATATACTTAATAATTTTGAATGTAAAACTAATCTGAATAATTTAAATTTTGTAAAAGATGATTTTTTCGTTTTTGAAAACTCATGTAAATTTGTAAGCAACTTATTAACTACAATATAATAGAAAAGGTTTGTTGTGGTTATTATGGGGTTTTTCCTTTTTTAAGGAAATTTAAAAACTACTATAAGGCTACAAATGAGATTCACAAAAGTAATGTGAAAAGGAAGACTGGGTCACTGAACTGACCTGTATGAATTCGCTTTCCAAATGACAAGTGTTCCCATGTTCCTTTCAAATATTCTAGAGAAATCTTTCAGTTATTTGAAAAAACAATAAGGGAGGGAAATCTAGCAAGAACAGCAATACCTGTTTTATTTCTTCCTTTGAGGCTGGCTTTGAGAAGAGTTTAAATTGCCTGTTTGAACAGGGACAATTTGCCTTGATTCCCCATTTTACTCTTACAGAATGAAGAATATCACCAACATCATAGAGGGCTGGAGAGGAAAGAGGCAGAAATAAAAATCTGAACAAGGATGTTAGGTATTTTCCACCTCAACATTACAAAGCAGAAGCTGATTTTCCAACAAGACTACTTTTTTCCCTAGCAGTGCTCTCTCCATTTCATCTTGTTAAATCCACATTCCTTCAATATTTTCTTTCCTGCCACAAAACTAATTATAAGACCAAAATTGAAAGTTTGGGATTAATTACTTTAATAAACTCTGGACAATTTCTCTCTCTTACCAAAATAAAGTCAGCTTATTTGCTGTACTCCATACAGTACACAAAATACCTTTTCCAGGAATGATCTGTGTTGGCATCAAGTTCTCTGGTTCATGTATCTGACTCTTCACACATCTGATCCAAGAGAAAGTCTTGTAGGCAGCACCTGCAAAGAATGGATTTGTCCTAACTATTCTTCATGGATTCTTGCCCCAACTGCTTCAGAAATTCATCAACCATAAATCAATGTAAGGCCTAAATGTCTAAGATAACTGAAGGAAAATCAAGTCAGTTCTCACCCTGTTGGCAATTTTTTTTCTTCATCCGGTAGCAATCCACACACACGCCAAACCCACACCGAGGACACACCCAGTGCAAGTTGAAGATGGTTGTGTCGCACACATCACACATTTCTCGAACACCTTTGACGGCTCGCTTCCAAGCAACTTGTCCTACAGAAATCAATGAGTCAGTTAGTCTTGGGGAGCAGAGGACTTCTGAAATTTATCTGACGGGGGATGGGAGTTGATGTCATTCCTCCCTCTGAGTTCCAACCCTCACAGCCCATCTCAAAGGGGCCTTTTCCCACGAAGCTCTCCTGATCCCTCAGCACTCCCATTAACCTATATATGTACTAGAGACTCCTGTTCACATGTAGAGAACTATAGAAGCAGAATCTCTGTCTGGTTGGGCCCCTGTTACAGGAAGCTCTGCATACCCCTGGTGCTCAGTAATGCTAAGTAACTATATGAAGCAAGCAGCTGTGGCTACCCCACTGGAGGTCAAATAAAGGTAATCACAGCAGTTGTTAAAACGGTTTTCTGGGTCATGAGACCCCTCTGAGACTCTAAAGGCAGTACACACCAGGCCTCTCCCAAAGGACAAATAACATACGAGATGCACAAAGCCAAACTTCTGCATAGTGTCAAGTTGTCAGTGTGAACATATCCAAATCACTATTCACACCAAATCAATCCAACTGCCGAGTGAATGCCTGTCATTTCATTGCAATGTATAAGCTTAGCATACAACTCAGAGAGCATTAAGACATTACACAAACGATGAGATTTTATAAACTTCACCATGGTCACTTGGATTAAACTGCTTCATTAGAGTATTCTTAGTCACATGTGTCATTGAAAAGGTAGAATAAAAGTGTAATGGTTGAAATAATGCTTCCTAATCTCAGAGTCAGAAGAGAACCCTTTTGGGACACCGTACAGCTGCATCTTTCAGTAAAACTCACTGTGGCTTTCTCTTTCCAGTATGACCACTTTGTCACAGAGCAAAGAAAAAGGAACACATCAAGAAGGCATGAAGCCGGAGAGGTTAATCACATTGAAATCTTCTAAGACAAGAACTGCCAAATTCTTCTCAGAAAATACAATCACCTGTGCCTTTTTCCATGTGAAAAAAATACAGATAACTAACCTACAATGTAGCAAAGGCATTTCCTTTTTAAAACAATCTTGTTGATTTATATCGAGTAAAGCTATCAATATATTCCGAAAAAGTGTTTATCTTCTACTCATTTATGTATCACCTCTTTGCCATTATCTTCAAATTCATGTTTAGTTAAGTTGTATTTACCTTTTTTTAAAATTTTGAATCTCTATGGAAAATGGATACTGGGTAGCATCACTTATCCTACATAGAAAATTACAGGAAAATATTTTCATTAAGATTCTTGACTTATGACCATCTCCACTCCCCTCAACAGAGTGGAGGAATTCTACAGCGGTGCTGCTCATCATGACGACTCTGCTTGCCTCAGGAGCTCCCCAGTGTCTCACCCAGCTCTAACTACTCCTGCTGGAAATGGCCTGCTTCTTATTCCTTGGACTCTGAGATATGACAGTATTAATTCCTATTCAATACAATGTTTTTGTGTTTAAGCGAGCTTCAGTTAAATTTTTAGTAGTACCTACCAAAACAAAATTCTAAACTAAAACCAGTATGTGTGAATACACTCAAATAAGTATGAAGTCTGAAAAGAAACCCACTTAAAAGGCTTCATTTTTTAGCTTTTCAGCATTTTGGCAAAGATAATGATGGAGGAAAGAAGACATGCAAAACAGCAGTGTTGCGAAGAGGATGCAGACAGAGGGGTGGCACCAACATGACTGTCTATAAAATTGTGTGTGCAGTTTCCACAGAGGATTATTTTTTTTATAAAAACATCCCTGTAGTTCGTTTTAACAAAAAACTTCTTCAACTCGGTTTACATGCAGTAACATACCTATAAGACTAGAACTCTGTATTATTTTACTGTTTTGAAGCTGCTAATGTACTCTGGTCAAAACTCATTATTACCCAATTTCAATAATGCTGTGAATCACAAGATTTGGTCTGCAGGTACACACACACACACTGTTGCTTTTACTGCTGATTTTCTCAAATTTACTTGTGTGTTAGCTATACTATTATGTTAAATTAGTACTTGTGAACCTAAATCAATCATTATTTTTGAGAACAAAGTAGTAATTAAAGGGGAAAAAAAATCAAAAAAGCTTTTTAGTTACTAATAATGTTATAAAACTAATAGTGAAATTAAGGTAGTAGGATTTAACAAAACAATTTTGTTACTATTCATATAGCCTAAAAATATTACAATCATGCAATTTACATGTACATTTATCACATGATATTCTTTGATTATATAAACACTGCTAAAGATTCTGTAGGGTCTGGTTGGTGGGGGTGTGAGACGTGACACCAACCCTAGTTAACACTACTGGTACGTCTGGTTGGAGACCACATGTCTACACAGCACATGGACAGGGAAAGGTGTGCTGGCCTTCCTGATGTTACACCTGGAGAGGTTCTCCAAGACTGAGCTCTGATGTGTCAGCCACACTGGTCCTGATGGTTTACCAGTTCAGTGTGAGAGTGCTCCCAGAGTAGCAGATGTAGGCACACACTAGCTGAAGTATTTGCTTAATATCTATCTTGACTCTCACAATCATTTTCACATAAACGTACTCCAATTCCTGTGACTGCAACCTAGCTGCCTGCAGGCTCTGACTGAGGGGCTCCAGGGTAAAGCTTGTTCTTTCCTATTTTCTTTAAAATGTATTCCGAATGTAACTCTGTCTTAAGGCAACCTGAGGCCTTTCTGGTGAGCCGGCACCACTTCCATATGCACCTTTCCTAATAAAAACTACAAGTTCTACCCCTTTGATAATTGGCCCAAAATAAACCCCCAACATACATAGTCAACTGACGCTAATGAAAACAAGAGGGAAAATGAAACCTCATTATACCACAGTCATCTAAATAAATCCCACACAATGAAAAGTTCGGTATCATTTAGGAACAAAACTCAAGTTGGACCCAAAAATCTTACCACCCCCTAAGAGATGCTCTTACTGTGTGGTTCAATGGTTGACATAGCTTCCTTTTCAGAAATCACCATTTGACAGAAGTGGTCTCCAATGTTGGCCAGGATATACTTTGCTGTATCCAGATCCATTCCTACCACGTTTTTGATTAAAGGTAACCATAGGCCAATTGCTTCAATATCATACTTGTTTGGTGTTAAAAAGCCTTCGACCCGCAAAACACCGTGTTTGTTGAACTGTAACCTGGAGTTAAGTGGAAAATACAAGTATTTATATGTATGCGGACACATACACCTTAACACTTACCTGTGTATGGAAGAATTCCCCTGAGAGGAAATACAGACCTAACCTTTATTGAGAGCTTATCCTGGATCAGTCGTTATCCAAACACATAATCTATGTACATAGAAACCTACGTAACAGTTACCAGAACTCTAACTGCTACATACATTTTATCATGGTGTTTTTGCCATGTACTTGGGAATGAATGCAAACTAATACATTAAAACTATACTTCACTAAATAAGCTTGACTCAAAAGTTATCAGCACAGATAAAACTTTATCTCTCCAGCAATCTTTAACTTAGATAAAATTCTCCTTATGCTAAGAACTAGTTGGATGAAAGCATCTATGCTTATTAGAAAGTGAATCATATTTAAAGTTCATCTGTATCCACAAAGAACAACACTGCACATTTAAACAGAAGCCTTCCTTCACTCATGATAGAAGGATGTAAAGAAAATTAATGTAGCTTTTAAAGAAAGCATTTGCCTACCTATAAAATTGGAAGCAACTGTTAAACAAGACATGGCTCTCAATGCTGGTAAAGGCACAGGAATGCTCATACCCTGTTGGGGCAACCTTCCTAAAAGGGCACGTTAGCAGAACACATACAGCAAAGCCTTCACACCATATGCAGCTATTGACTCAGTAGTGCCACTGCTAAGTAATCTGTCCAAAGTCAATAGAGTTGTGGACAAAGGGATGCTTATTTCTGCATTATTTCTTCTGGCAAATTAAGTAATCCTAACAGCCAACAAGGAAATTAATGAACTGAACTACCAATCAAATATCGAAAAGGGGTTCCAGAACTTGCCCAGTGAAATAGGCCTCGTGTAAAGCCTTTGCAGAGTATAGGACCTTAGGTGGAATCCTGAGTCCCACCCAGAACCTTTTGAGGTGGGACATCCCCACTAGAAGGGACAAGAAGACCAGCCTGGAACAGCTAGAATGACAGAAGATACATCTTCAAAGAAAGATCATCAGGAAAAACCCAAAACAAAAATGGCACTATGATGGGCTACTACAAGAATTATCAAGCTGAAAAAGAAAAAAAAAAAAAAAAAACTGTTCGCCAGGAAGCCACGAAAGCAAGCAATCAAGTTCCTTCAGGGCAAACTCCCCTCTAAGACCAAAACTCAGAGGGAACACACAAACAAGCATGTAAGCTTACTGATGCCCACATGGTCTACTGGGGAGCTGAAGAGGGAAAGGCAACAGTGAAGAAATGGGCTGAGTTCAACCACAGTTCACTGACTCCTGTTGACCTGGAGATGAGAGAGAGAAGAGGAAGGGCTGGTGGGTCCAAAGTGTGATGAGACCTGAGGACACCTGAGCACATGGACAAGGACATAACCACAGAGAGCTAGAGCTAGGAGTGAAGCATCCAGGTGACAGGAGATGCACAAGAACACCCAAACTTGCAGACAGTACCATTTGACCAAGCCTTGATGGCTTGACAATCAGAACTCCACTAGAGGAAGATTTAAAAAAAAAAAAATTTTTATAAAGAAACAAGGGTAAATCGCTACAATTTGATGAAACTGACCTATACTCATAGAGGTGGTAACTCTAAATACAAACAGAGAGGGAAGGAGTCTTGACATCAAGTGTCAATGCTATACCCTCTGTACACAAGGTAGATAGGAATGGGCAACTTACACATTGACTACCTAAAATGAGGAGGCAATAAAGGTATGAAGTGATTGGCTTACAAGGTTTCAAGTGGGAGTTTAGTTTAAGTATATGGGGGGAAAGAAAGAGTCCCCACTGAATAGATTTCATCTTGTCTAGATGGGTCTGGTGAAAAGAGATGGGGATAAGATTCGTAAGATTCAATAGTGAATAACTGTTATCATGACTAATCGCGACTGTCACAATTATAATGGTAGAAGTTTTGCAACAAAAAAGGGGAGTGGTTAATCTTACAGTCCAGAACAGAGGACCCTAGGACCATCAAGAGAGGAACATACAAATAGAATGCTGGACCTTATCCAGAGAAGCAGCGACTCCAGATATGGAAGCAGAGGTGGGGTCATGGAGAGACGGAGCAGCTGAGGACTCTAGATTCATGGACTAAGAAGAGAGGGACTAAGAGCTGGTGGCCAGTAGGCAGACTTGCAGAATGTGCCCTTTGGTGGTGTTAATTAATATATATGCCTGAGGGTTTTTTTGTTTTTTAAAAAAGCTAAAGAAATACTGTTAACTGATGGTGCATGGAGGGGATTATAATCATTGTAATTAAACAAGGTGTATGATTTGTTGAATGTAAAACTGATGACCTGCCCTGTAAGCTTTCACTCAATCCACAATAAAAACCTTGGGGGAAAAATAATGTATTTTGAAGAAAAAGGTTAACATGATCAAGTGGTCCCTATATCCTGGGAAAGTAAAATTCAAAATGATACATACAATGCAACAATCAGATGTGCTTGAAAATTACTTATGACCAGTTGTTGATAATGCTGTACAGTCAGTTCCGACTCATAGCAACCCTGTATAGGTTTCTGAGGAGCAACTGGTGGATATGAACTGCCAACTACAGCGTCACACCAGTAGTCCATACAAATACTAAAAACGCACTGAAAAAGTTAACAGTAGTTACCAGAGTGGGTTTTCTTTTAGACTTTGTCACTTGAAAAAAAATAATGTTTATCTTTTTTTAACTTCTTTACTTAAAAAAATTTGGAAAGGAGAGTAAGAAGGAAATATATCAAGAGATCTAGATTTCCCACACCACAGATTAAAAATGTTACTCCTGCTATAAGTCGGAACCAATGGTACCTAACAACGACCCTTGTTAGTTCTCTATTCACTATTCTTTAAAAGGAATGTGTGTGCATATGGGGACTGGGGGGCATCTTACATTATATGAGCTCTTCAAAAATACTGTACCTCCGGAAGTGAAAGAAGCGACAAAACACAGGCGAGTCCTTCTGTTGCTCCTTATCCTTGCGGAGACTGTCCAAGCGACACTCCCGACACTTAGACAGCTGTGCAACGATATTCACACAGGAGTCATCCTGAACAAAGGCCTCGCCGCTCTGCTGGAGCTTCTTGAGTTTGGCTGGGTCTGTCAGAACTGACTTCCGGGATGGGGCTAGGAAGGTAAAGGATCAAAAAAATGGAAGCTCAAAGGTCTGACTATGAGGGAAATCGATTCAAAAGGCTACTTTTCCAAATGTGAGAACCCCCTTTCTACATTCCTGGTTTACCTGCAATTCCTAAATAATACTTAAAAGACAACTGTCAGAACAACTATGAAAGTTTTGTCTCTCTTTATAAAACAATTCTCATTTAGTGAATCCATCTGGCAACTTTAAACTCCATATTCAACAGTCAAAGACTCACAATTTCAAGTTTAGTGAATATTTCTAAATCAAAATCCTAAAAAGATAAGATTTTGGGAAAACTTTTCCAATCAGATACAAACTCATTGTAACATTCATTAACAATGCACAGAGATATTTTGAATTCAACAAACAAGGAGAAATAATTCTGTCACTTTCTATACTCAAAAAAGACTGATTTCTAAAAGTGTGTTTTCTAAAGTAGGCCACAAAAGGCTACCCCAAACAGCTTCTCTGCACAAGCCTGGTCTATCAAATGAAAACTGCCTCCTAAATGTCTCCAAGAGACATCATCTGACTGTTCCACAGATACATCAGTTTTGATGAGTAACTAAGCACTTGACCAAGGTGCCACCAGGATTCCTTAATTTATATAAAATTGATTATATAAAATAGTACTGTTCTTCAAGAGTTACATAACTCACCAAAAGACAGTGAATATTCATAGCCATATTTTTGCAGGTGTTTGAGAGAGCTAAGTGTGAATATATTTATTTTTTACTTATTTAAATGAATTCTTTAAAAAAAAAGATTTAAAAAAAGTTATCCAAATGCATCCTAATTTTCCCACTTAGCAGGCAATAATAAAAGGTATTTTCAAACTGTATTACCTCTGAACCTTCTGATGTGTTGCAGCCATTATTCCTTCTAATTTTAGTATGAACATCTTATATCTAGTGCAGCAATACCCAAAATACCACAAGTGGATAATTTAACAAGCAAAGTTATTGTCACAGTATGAGACTGGAAGTCTAAATTCAGGGTGCAGGCTTCTCTCTGCTATGGCTCTGAGAGAAGGCCACATCATGGGGGATTGTGACAGCATTCCAGAACTGTCAAAACACTGAGAATCAGGGCCCAGTCAAGTTGACATATACTTTCCAGGGACACAATTCAATACATGACACCATCAGATCAATTTAGATATTGTTTCAAAAACATTTTCTTACAAACCAAAAATTGGGAATTACCCAACTGCCCATATCACAGAAACTAGTTATTTGGTAAATGCATTGAACAAATTCCATGCAGCCTTTAAAATACTTACAGACTAATCTACAAGACAACATTGTTTGTGTAATACAACTTATGGGATCCACCAAAAGATTGGCAACAATAATTTCTGAGAAAAATTTGGGAGCTTGCTTCTTTAAATTTTTCTGAACTTTTTCTACGAAATAATTTTCAAATGTTTGCTCATAAGGTAAAAAAAGAAATACATATATATACACACTATCACTTACCTCCTCCCAATAAAGAAATGAAGAAACACTCACCATTCTGGATTTTATTGTTGCTTCTTGTACAACAGCTTTCATTATTTACTTTGACTGAAGACTCCTTTACATTCTGCGACCGGCAACCTAAAGTTGAAGGTTCTACTTTTTTCCCCACACAACTATTAGTAGGGCTATTACTGTTAACACCTGCTTTCTCTTCTAATTCATTTGAAAGGGCAACATTGACATCAGATGTGGAAGGTGCATGTTCTAGCTGCTTCTGAAGTTCAGGACTATTGGCAATTTCCAATTCTGTCTTAGAAGAAGCCTTTGTAGGTGAGCACTCCTTAAGAAGACCAGCTGCCGGTTGAAGAACAGATTCCAATCTGTTTTCTTGATCAGTGCTTGTTTTTAGCAAGGTACAGCTACTTTTTGGCTCGCTGAGAGTTTTCAAATCTCCAGTTGCAATTTGAGAGAGCTTTGAAGAGAGCAACCCAGGTTTACAGCCAACATCTGGCACTGTCCTCAGGATTTCAGGCTTTATATTTAGACAGGAAGAAAGTTCTTCTGGTAAACTCTGTTTCTGACATCTGAAAAAGGTAATACAGAACACTCGTATCCTGTTCTTTATTTTTCACCTACCTTTTAAAATCAAATACTTGTTCTGCCAAAGCAACCAGTATGAAAGTGATTATTTAAAATAGGTTTCTGTGAGTTAGAATGCAAAGTAATCAGTTACTGGCTCTATAAAAATGTCTTAACTACTCTTAGAAAAAAAACAGTATCATAAATTCGATCTGCACATTCTCATAAATTTCAGACTTCAAGCTGGTTCTACTTCTTTTAAACTTTTGTTGTTGCTGTTCCATGCCACTGAGTACTGCCAACTCAGAGAAATCCTATATACCGTTTCCAAAGCTGTGAATCTCTATGGGAACAGAAAGCCTCATCTTTCTTCAGCAGAGCAGCTGGTGTATTTGAACTGCTGATCACACGGTGAACAACCTATCACACAAACCACTAACACCATCAGGGTTCCTATAATGAGCTTTGGCTTTCCCCCAAAACAAACTGAGTTTCACATGGAACCAAAAAATACACATAGTAGATTAGAAGCTGAGTGGTTTTTAAGTGCAGGACAAATTAATAAAGTTTTTAAATTTTAATTTCAGAGAAGCCTTCATTAAACTCCCTTATTTGGTAAAGATTACGTTTGAATCTGAAAGGTAAAACTAGTATTCATACCAAGATTTGGAAATATCTCATGGTTGGTCACTGTGTCAAAATTAATTAGAAAACATACATATATATATATATGTGTGTAATGCTAGATATCCTCTCAGGAGCCCTGGTGTGGCACTGTGGGCTAACGCGTCAGACTGCAAAGCCATTTGAACTACAAGATCGGCAGTTCAAGCTCACCAGCTTCTCCTCAGAAATCCTATACAGGGTTGCTATGGGTCAGACCCGACTCTACGGCACTTAACAACAACAGATACCCCCTCAAAGATAAACTCCACAAAAAATATATATTTAAAACTTAGTAACCAGAGAAACAAACAAGATGGCGGATTGGGTGGAAGTGCAGTAGGGAGTTCCGTCAGCAACAACACAGAATACAGGACAAAGCAGGCTCAGGGGATGGTCCCAGAACTCTGAACCACATATAAAGTAATATTTAGAAGGTTGGAAGGCTTACAGCTGGGGGAATTTGTGGCAGAAGCAAGAAATCCATTGCTTTCTAATTCAAGACGCTCAGCTGCTCCAAGATCCGCCATCTTGGGTGAAACCAAGCAGGGGAAGGATCGGAGCGGCCACAGACGCCTGGCAGAACTGCGGAGATAAAGGTGTGGACATTCTTTTCTTTTGGTAGCTGTTCATTGGTACCTTGCTGTCTGAGCACCTCCATTCTGGTGACTATAGGGGTGCCTGAGCTAGTGGACACCCCAGCCCCACCCTCGGAGGGTTCTACTACGCATGCATGAGCACAGATCTCCTCAAAATTTAAAGAGACAGTTTCCAATTAAAACCAAACGGCCACACCGGG